GCCAGCTGAGCGGTTCCATTTTCTCTCTGGTTCCTCGTTTGTGTTACCGGTGTGCGGAGTCTGACTGTCCGTGTCACAAAATCAACCGAGGGAATACACACACACACCCCATGGAGCATTCCCACCTCGTGATGACGGCTCGCCTGGGAAAACGACAATGCAACCGTGAGCAATACTACCGGAGAGCCTGGACAATCACAAAATGGTTCCTCTGCATACTTGCCATGATAGTTGTGTTAGGACTAGTTCTATATTTTATGTATCCATGGTCAGCACACAGCAGGTCAGCCAAAATCGAGGTATCTAAGAGGTACATGGGGAAAGCAGGGCGAACCACATGGGAAGAGGGGCTGATCAAGACAGGGATTGGTAACATTACTCTAAGGGATGGGGAAGATAGCACAGTGCAGTTAGACCCGTGCGACTAAATGCATTGCTCCGACCCTAAGAAACTGGGGTGGGCGGAGGCCTACATATGCTATGTCGAAGGCAGTTTTGGTCAAACCGCCAATCACTGCTCGGGGGGCTGGGCTTTTGTTTTATGGACCACCGCATACACCGATTGGGGTTATACCCTATGGGATGACAAAACAAACATCAAAGGGAGATTGTCTATCTCCAAAGTCAATTCATCGAGCCCCGTAGTCCTGTTGCAACTACAGGCTGCCCAGAGATCAGACGGGGGTTATTATGTTGTATGTATGTATGTATCCGGCACCGACCCGTGTGGCACATTTTACATAGACATCGCGCCCAAAACTCAGACCCCCAAAAAGGATAAACAGCCTTTGACACAAATATTGACATCCATAGGTACATCTACACTTCTAAAACGTAACCCTATACATAGGCAATAACGACCATAACAACATTGATGTGGTTCAGACCAGTAATGGGATCACCGGTAACGTTTGGTGGCACACTCTGAGATCATTCTTGCAGGCCGCAGGACAAAATGGTTCATGTTATGCATGCACCCTTTTTCCCCAGGACTCATCAATGTCAGTGCCAGTTCGTCCGCGCTCTCTGACCCAGGTTGAATACCTCTGTGCGTTTATGGCTCTGACAAGGCCCATCAAGGGGGAAGACCGCGTAACCGAGTGGCGTTATGCCAGGCAGCTTCCCCCACCATGCAGTAATAAGTCTAACTCCCATTTGCGTGCATATACGGTTGATATCACATACGCAAAGTACCAACCGGTCAGCCATGTGCACCCCAGCCATTTGAGAGGGATGAAACACAGCATTTGTATCCAGAGAGTATACCACAAAACGTCTCTTACACCACCTTATTTTTTTTCCTAGGCACTACTACTGGTTGTACTCGTATCCTATGGAACACGTGCAGTTACGGTGCTTACAATATCTCGTATTGTCGCATATTCCTGCCCCTGGAAGAATCCTTTCCAACGTAGCATTCCCTGCTCTATCAAGTTCTGGCTCCCCTCTGGATAGGTACATGCACTCTAGTGGATTTGAATCCAGCAGTCACGGTCCTCACGTCCTTAATGTACACGACACATCATTACCCAGAGTTCCAACACCCCGACCACCACAAGGTAAAAAGAGAGCTGACGTCCACTAGAGCTAAATTCTTTGGTGGCTTGTTTCCATGGTGGGGTACAGTAAACAATGCCCATAACATAGATACCTTACATGTTCGACTAGAGAACCTCACTTACGAGACGACGCAAGGCTTCCAGGCATTGCCCCCATTCATAATAGCCTCTAGGAATATGCTCATGCAGCACCAATTTGCTCTTGACCTTTTGTTCGCCTCAAAGGGTGGCCTGTGTCATGTGATCGGTGACTCCTGTTGCACTTACATTCCTGACGCCACCAAGAACATCACTGACACCGTGCTGCATCTTAACAACGTGTTAGCCGACATGAAAGTGGATGACATATCCAACGCAGGTGGCTGGGACTGGTAGTCCTGACTTACATCGGGCGGGTAGGAAGGATGGCTGGCTAGGATAGTTACACCCCTGATAATCATTTTCGGCCTATTAATCAGTTGTACCTGTTTGATTATCCCAATACTGAAGAAAGGCTTTTCCAGCCTGGTATCCTTAGCTTTCGTTCAGTATACTGCTATTCCATTACAAGACAATCCTTTGCGCCACAGTGAGATAGACCAGCTAGAATCAGAAGAGTCTGATTCCGACACTACAATATAATCAATATAATCATGTGAATCGAGTGTACTCTCCTCTTATGCTTACATTATATTGGAGTCTGTCCTCCACAAAAACAGCCAATTTTCTATGATATATTTGTGATGTGTTTACTTAAACCAGTGATGGAGTATATTCATTGATGTGTTATATCAGTCTATCCTGTCATTTGTTTTTTATTGATCAAGTATGATCAAAAGGGGGGAATGTAGTGGACATTTTATTATATCCTGATATGTTTAAACCAAATGCTTCTCATTTGGTTAGATGTGCTGTTTGCCTCTATCTACACTACTTCAAGGCCACAGAGCTGTTTTGGCTACTGAGTTGACTCACACAAAGTCACACGAGAACTTCTACAGCTCAAGGCCAGGTGTCTAATAACAATGTGACCGTGTGAAGATTTCTTACCTTCCCACCCTTTTCCTCCCTTTATAAGCTTTGCTATCATATTGAACTGGGCACACTCGCGCAGACATATTTTATACTCTGTGAGACCTGTGTCTATATATATATATATATATATATATATATATATATATATATATATATATATATATATATATATATTTTATTGTATCTGATGTTTGTTTGAGTCATCGAATAAACATCACCAGAAAGACAACTGTCTGATTCACCATTTATTTTATTTGATCACTTTGACTTGTACTCTACAGTATTGGGGTTTTTAGATTTCCATAACACAGGTCGTCCAGGTAAAAATAGTACTCATCCCTCCTCTGTGTAGCGGCTGCAACGCCGTCTCTACACACTTTGAAAAAGTACGAGGAGCCAGGGAATAGCTGAACGACAGACGGTTGTACTGGTACGCTATTCCCTGGAATGAAAACCGCAGGAATTTCCTGTGTTGCGGAATGATGGGTACATGGAAGTATGCATCCTTAGGTCTATAGAGGTGAACCAATCTCCCTGGTGAACACACTAGCACCTTTTTGACCGTCAGCATGTGAAAAGGCCTTTTCATTATTGCCTTGTTGAAAACTGACCGGTCGAGGATGGGTCTCATTCCCCCTGTCTTTTTCGGGATAAGAAAATAGCGGGAGTAATACCCCTGATTTTCTTCCTCATGGGGAACCCTGGAAATAGCCTCTTTCAACAGGAGTTCCCGTAGCTCTGCTTGGAGCGCAAGACACTGTTCACGGGATGTTAGGCATGTCACCTGTATCCCGTTGAACTGTGGGGGGGGGGAGGCGAACTGCAGGGTGTACCCTGCTGATCAGCCTGTGCATCCATCCGTCCATCAAACACATGCGCTGCCACGCCGAGAAACACTGACAGCGGGCGCGCATGCTCGAGATGTGTTGTGGTTGTCATGACGACGAGCCACGCCAGAGCCCTCGCCGCCGCTGCCCGTGAGGCAACCCAAGGTGGGCCTAGAGCGAAAGGGCTGTGCGGAGGCCTCCACACGCTGCGTATCACTCCGCCTCGCATCATGAGACGTGTACACGCTCAGAGGATGGATGGAGGTGTGTGCAGTAATATCCACATGAGGCGTTAACACTGCGCTCCTGGGCTTATTATGACCGTGTATCGGTGGCGTATCTCGGTCAGAAGAATGCCGCGAGGTCTGTGGTTTAATAACCGAAGAGTCATAACCACCAGAACCCTGCAGCGAACCATGCTGCCTACTAATCAGCAGATTGAAGGCAGCTGGTGTAATTACTGTGCTCCGCAGCTTATTAATCGATAGATTAAATAGCGCAGGCTTTTGTACCGAACCCGGCTGGCTATTAACCGATAGGTCATGGCAGCTGGCTCACCGGCCAGAGTGGGGGATATATGAAACACATTTGAAACTGATGACTCAGCCAACATGTTGGGAAATAATCTTCTTTTATTTTCCTCACACTGCCTCCCTAACCGTCAAGGCCGCTCTGCTTCCTCGGCGGCTCTCATGGAGCAGACGCCGAACGGGAGTACCTCACTCCCTTTTTACCCCCCCTCTCCTGGTGGGGGGGAGGGGGCGGAGGCCCCGTGAGGCAACCCAAGGTGGGCCTAGCGAAAAGGCTGTGAGGAGGCCTCCACACGTTGCATTCACTCCGCCTCTCATCATGATGCGCGTACACGCTCAGAGGATGGGTGGAGGTGTGTGCAGTGATAACCACATGAGGCGTTACCACGGCGCTCATGGGCTTATTGTCACCGTGTGTAGGTGGCGTATCTCGGATAGAGGAATGCCGCGAGGTCTGTGGTTTAACCCTTAAAGGCCGAGCGAGCCGCCCGCGGCTTCAAAGAGGTAGCGTTCTAAAATGCTTAATAACTTTTTAACCGCTAATCCTATCCATCTGATTTAAAAAGTGAGGTAAAGCGGCTATTCTAGGCTTTTTGCTGGTATCACTATGTCCTTTTCCGGGATTCAGAGGCTCCGACGTGATCGGGGCAACGTTATCACATTTTACAGCCTTGATTCGTCAAGGAGACCCACGCGGCCCCTCTGTCTGAGCCAAACAGCAAAGGTTTTAGACTAAGTCCCACCCCCCTGTGTCCGGATAGGTTTAAAATGTAAAGGTCCAGGCAAACCTCTGCCCATGCTACCATCTTCTCGACCAATCAACATAGGTTGCTGTGTATGTTTTTGGCCGCGGGAGATAAACAAAGAGAAACAGAGAGACGAGAGAGTAATACTAAAGAAGAGTAATTCTGCCAGCGTAAGAGAAATACACACACACACACACACACACACACACACACACACACACACACACACACACACACACACACACACACACACACACACACACACACACACACACACACACACACACACACACACACACACACACGTCAAAACGGCATTACACTACGGAAGAAGCCGTAGAATTTATTTGGTCTGGCGGACCGCTTAGCGATGCAGCGGTGGATTCCTCAGATTCTGAAGCTGACAACTGGCAAGGAAGAGGAGTATGATCACGGGATTGATCCCTTCGAAGATAAAAAAGTGAGTAACTTTGCTTATTTCTTATTGTTTGTGTTGCATTTATCGGTTGTTGTTTCTGTATAACGCCGAAAATAATTAGTCCTAAGAGTTTTTATAATGGATGGCCATTTGCCGTAATTGTGTCATAAAGTGAAGTCCTGAGCTCAAGATTCACTATCAATAGAGGCTACTATTTATTTCAGTAAAAAAACGTCAAGCAATACCTTTCATGTATTGCCTCATTCCGCTTGCCCTCTTTGGTTGTTTGTTATAAGGTCTAATGTTATTATATTCATTGCATTACAATTCAGTTACTGATTCCATCAACTAGTAATGTTAGCAGAGGGATAAAGTGTGAATCAAATCAAAAGTTGAGACTGTGTTTAGAAAACAGATAGGATGACACTGGAGAAATAAAAGCAATAAAGGAAATAAAATAAATTCAGACATTTATATCTGTATATTTTCCTCCCTTTTATTTTAGTACAGAGGATGAGAGAGGGGATGCACAAGCCCCTGTCCCCATCAGTAGGCCTCCTTCAAACCGAGAGGGAAAAGAATGCGGCCAGGAGGGTGCAGCATCCAGACAAAAGGCCAAACCAATGCCAGCCCCCCTGACAGTGAAAGGGAGAGGAAGAGGAAAAGGGAAAAAAACATCTCTGACCCCAGAAGAGCCAGGAGCTGTTTGGAACGGACCTGAGGTGCCAGATACTGCCCAACAACTACCACACTTTTGCCCGAAAAGAGCCCCTGGAGTCCAAGGTTTTGTTGGTGTGGAGTATACTCCTGCACAAATATTTAGAAATTGTTTTAACAACCAAGCTGTAAATATCATCTGCAAGAACACAAACAAAAATGCTGAAAAGGAGCAGGCTAAGGGGGAAAAGTTTGTTTGGGAAAGCCGGTAAAATTCCTCATGTATGTCGGCCTTATGGCACTTCTAAAACTGCTAAAAGTAAGTGACTACTGGAGGAAGGGATCACACCTGAGTGTTCTCTTTCCTGCTTCTGTCATGACAAGAGACAGGTTCATGGCAATCAGCAGAGCTGTACATCTGAGCGACCCAGACCATGATGAATGTGGATACATTTCCTTTGCTCTTTATATATTTTTCTAATATTTTGGTTATAGTTTGAAGATCATTTGCTCTTTGTACTTTTGCACTTTCTATATATTCCTAATACTTTGTTTATACTTTTAATATAATTTGCACTTTGTTAATTTGCACTTTGAATTTGTTTCACTGTTTGTGTTTGTATTTCAATGTTCAAATGATAATATATATCTCTGAAACAAGTTATTTTTGTTGCAATGTCATCTGTTATGGTTTAATTGTTTACTCTCTCAACCTTTTTTTGACAGAAGAAACATGATCAGTCATTTAAATATGGAAATACATTTCGTTTTAATTATTCCATATGATCCTAGGCGTTTTTCACTGAAAAACGCCTAGGATAATATTGTAATAAATAGCTGTAACTTGCTCAGGGAACATAATATGCAGATGAAATTTAATTTGAAAGCCTAAAACATCTAAATGCAGCTTTGTAAATAATAAAAAAGAAAATCCCTATGTTCCTGGCGGAGTAAACAGTAAAAAAACACAACATTTGTACTGGCGTTTTTGAAAAGTGCTGGTAAATTCAGCCATTATCACACAAAGTTATGGTAAAATTTGGACTTCAAATTAGCCAGACTTGAACTAGAGGTTCTCCTGAATCAAATGAGGTAAGGCACTTGATAATGACTGCAAGAAAAGGTTAGAACAGGTTAGGAGAAACAAATAAATACAGGAGAGTCAGGCAGGCGAAAATTCCGTCTAGGTCTTTAAGGGTTAATAACCGAAAGTTATAACCACCAGAACCCTGCAGCGAACCATGCTGCCTACTAATCACCAGATTGAAGGCAGCTGGTGTAGTTACTGTGCTCCGCAGTTTATAGATTAAAATGCGCAGGCTTTTGTAACGAATCCTGCTGGCTATTAACCGATAGGTCATAGGCAGCTGGTTTACCCAGAGTGGGGGATATGTGAAACACATTTGAAACTGATGACTCAGCCAACATGTTGGAAAATAAGCTTCTTTTTATTTTCCTCACACTCCCTCCCAAACCGTCAAGGCCGCTCTGTCTCCTCGGCGGCTCTCATGGAGCAGACGCCGAACGGGAGTATCTCACTCCCTTTTTACCCCCCTCTGGTGGGGGCCCGTAGGTGCGGGACGGTGCCCTGGAGGTGTGGGCCGGTGCCCCGGCCGCCGCTGACGGACGATTCTGACGCCTCGGCTGCTGTTGCCTGTCCGTCTGCCGCTGTGGCCGGGTTGGCTGCTGCTGCTGCTGCTGCCGCTGGTGTCGCTGCTGCTTCACCGCTGGCTGGAGCCAGCCGACGTGCTGGCGGATGTCCTCCGCCTGCTCCGATGCCGCCTTCATGGAATCAACCATGGCCAGGAACTGGGGACCGAACAGCCCGTCCGAGCTGATCGGAGCGTCCAGTAAAAACTTCCTGGCTGGCTCTGTGACCGCTGCCTGCTGTAACCAGAGGTGACGCTGGATCTGTGTCATCCAGGCTGCTAATCCTCGCCTGGGACACCGCCACGGCTGCGCACAGCGAGAGCGCCGTGCTGGCCGCCTTAGCGATCTCCTCCGCCTCCTCTGGAGCCACGGTGATGTGTTCTGGATGGGTTCCTGCCCACCCCAGACGTCTTCCTCACCCGCAGCAGCTAGAGCGTCCGCCCTTTGCTTCCTGTCGGATGAAGGAAGACGCACACAGTGAGGACATGCGACCTGCTGGCTGAGAGCCGCGTCCGCGTGCTCTGGCCCCAGACAGGCTGCGCATATCGGATGCAAATCGTAGCTCATAATGTAGCCCGTATTGCACAAAGGGCACATACCGACACACTCTTTATTGCTCATGATGTTGCTTTTCTCGTGCTTCAGTAAACTGCTGGTTGCTGAAGAAAAGAGGGAGCAGATCACCGGGCAACCTCCCTATTTATACCGGAAGGAGGCCCGAGGGTGGGGCCCACCTAGCGGGTGGGCGTGGACTACAAGTGTTTTCAGTACTGCGCGGGGGCGCAGAAGGGTAAATCCAATAGCGATAGCCTTAGAGGGCGAAGCCATATACGAAATAGAACAAGAAACGGCATCCATCTTCTTTGTGTGTTGTTGAGTGTGTGAAAGAACATTATATCACAAGATGGATGCCGTCGTGTTATTGTCACGTGTGTGAAATTACTAAAGATGAATACACTCTTACACCAAATAAATAACAAAAAGATAAAAACAGATGAATACTCTTACACCAAATAAATAAGTAATAGATACAAACAGATGGATTACATACCTTTCCGGTGACGGAGGTTCATAATCAGAGTCATTATAATGTCCCCTTTATGCGTGACGAGATATATCTTCCGACGGAGAGTCCTGAAATACGATGTCCAATGCCTCCTCGACGGACAAAAAAGTCTTCTTTCTGGCTGCCATTGTTACAATGAAGACAAATAAAACAAATCCTGCTGTTTCGCTGATCGATCTGCCGTTCTCTGCTCTCCTGTCGCCGCGGGACATGCTCCAGGGGTGCCCAACCAGTCGATCGCGATCGACCGGGAGATTCCCAGTCGATCGCGAGATGTGTCTAAAAATAGAACAACAATATTCAGTTTTATCGTTAATGTCCTATAACATAATCTTCCTGTGCCAGAATAATGCACTTGAACACATCAAAGCTTTGTGATTGGCCGGCGTGACCCCATGTGTCGGGGCGTGGCTAGTGGGCAGTGCACTAATTCGCTAACGTTGTCCGTGTCAACAGGAGTGACAGTCCGCACACAAACAAGACGGCAATTATGGCAGAAGCAAAACATATATATAATTTTAACTCTGAGTGGGAGGATGATTATTTTTGTATCTATTCCAATTCAAAGTCCATCTGTCTCATCTGCAATGCGAGCGTGGCTTTATCGAAGAAGGGTAATTTAGGAGCGGTATTTCAAAACAGTGCACAAACGCTACGAGACGGAATTCCCTCCTAATTCTGCCCTACGCTCCCAAAAGGGGAGGGGCCTGAAAGGACAGCTAAATGCACAGCAGTCCATTTTCACCAGGCCCAACAACAAGAGCAAAGCTGCTACCAGAGCATCTTATCGTGTCCGTCACGTTCTTGAGAAACACATGAAGTCTTTCAAAGACGGCGAAGTTGTGAAAGAAGCATTCCTGGAGGCTGCCGATGCGCTTTTGGTGGACAGTAAAAATAACAGTAGCATTTCAACAGGTTTTTGATATAATAAAAACTCAAGTTAGATACCGTTATTAATCAGCTGTAAGTTTTAGTTTGTTTGAACTTATTCATTATAATTATTGTACAAAATGGTATAAGAATGCAAACTTAAATTGATTATAGTCTATTATCAATTCAGGTTAAGAAACTAGTGTTGCTTGCATCCTATTTTAAAGGCATTTATTTGTATACTCTACTAAAATGCAACAAAAAAAGGGTTTGATTCTATTAATTTTGTCTTTTTTATTGCACTTTGGCAGCAGATTCCTGTGTAGCTTCAGATCTGAGTTGTCTTATTAGTAAGCCTAATTTATACTTTTGTAGCAACACTATTTTTATATAATGGCAAAGAAAGGGTTCAGAGTCTTATCTTTTTTCTCTGTGTCATATGTGGCAGCACTGTTCAATGTTTCTTGAAAACATTACCCACTGTAGTATGTGACGTGTGAATAAACTCCAACTCTGTACAGTGTTGTGTAACTTTAGTTGAATACTTGTATGTGTGTAGATTAGAAAGAGGTAAGATAAAGAATCTGCATTATTTTATGAAGTATTAATCGTATGAAGGTCAGTTTTATACAAGTAGAAGTGTATATTCACCTGGTAGGAGGCTGTCAGTAATGGCTACGCCTCTCTATTTGGACTGGTAGATCTCGGCAGACTGGCAACTTTAAAAGTAGCTCTCGGTTCTGTAGTGAAATATTTGTATTTATTCATGTTAGCAAACTATGGATAAGCTTAAAATGGGAATAATTTGGGTAAAACTGTGAGCTGGATTTGGGGCCTGTTGACATGTGTTTTTGAGGACAAAGGAAGATAGGGAAGGTGAGAGCATGTCTTGATTTGCATTCACCTTAGATCTTGCTACAGTGATTGGGGAAACCTAAGATTTGAGGTGTTAGTGATATTTGGGGCTGCCAATCAAGGAGGTCCAAATGGGAGGATCTGATAACTCCTCCCATTGTCAAAGAGTATAAACACAGACACACACGCAGTGTTCAGCCTCTTTCCTCTGGCTGGCTCACGTGCAGGTAAATTCGGGATCCCAAAGATTAACTATATTGAATTTGTACTGTATTGATTGTATTGCATTGTCGTATTACCATTAAAGTAGATTATTGTTTACTTGGTAGCTCTGGATTTCTTCCTGTATTATAACCAGCTTGATAGGGACGTGCGGAGATTTGAAAAGCGGACCAGATATCCCTTTAAATCTCTAACAAAGTGGTGACCCCCGACGTGCCAGATATAACGAAGCTGAGGAAGAATCCAGACGACCAGAAAGTTTAAATGGAATATACAATGAATATTTTACTATGTTAGGAAAGTTATATACAAAACGTGAACGTTGATCGCCAGGTAGACGGAATGTCCTGCGTAACGTAAATAGAGCAGTTTGGCGCGGATCTGCAGGTAGTTTATTCCTGAGTGGCGTGGAGACGGTGCAGTTTGTTCGGTGCGAGGTTTGATTCCTGCACGACAAAACCTGGAAACACGATATTTTAGATCGGGTCGCCGTTTAAAACTGGGGTTAAATAACAGACCAAGGCTGAAAGCTAAAAGCCAGAGGTCTGTTATATGTTAAATCGGGGGAGAGCGTTTCCCTTTGTCTGTAAACTTC